AATCCATATATTTAAAGAAAAAAAATTCTTCTAGATTTTGAGATGTAAAATTATTAATGATATCTTCAAGATAGATCTTTTCTAACATATCATTAATAAAGTCCATAAGAAATTTAGGCCGGTTTAAGAGATAGGTCATGAATGGTCGCTCCTATCGTCCATCCTCTAGGACAGGCCCGGAATGAATCTACCTAAAACTTCTTGGGCAGCCCTACATGTGAAATTTCACAAAAAAACTCTTACTTGCATCTTTTATGATCTCATTGGTTTATAATGTCATCTTACTTTTGTGAATTCGATTTTAAATAGCTCATTTACTACTTTTCACTCTTTAGAGCTCCAAGGAAGACTATTAATGTATTTTATGGCACTATAAGACAGTTCTTTTAAGGAGGTGATGATGATAAAAGGAAAATCAATTCGGTGGATTGGGAGGTGGTCACTAATCCTAAGAAGGATGGGAGGCTAGGTATTGGTTCTCTCAACTCGGCTAATGGGGATCTTCTTGCCAAATGGTGGCGGAGATTAAAAAAATAGAGGAAATTCCATTTGGTCCTCTTACATTAATTTTATTCATAAATTAATGGTTATTAATGAAAAACCTATGGTCATTAATTTTATTCAAATTGATGGTGACTTCAAAGATAAGGGCATATATTTCTCAAAGTTATTCAAGAGAATTGTTGGAAAAGGTAATGGTACTTATTTTTGGAAGATTCATGGTGCGGGGATGTGCCTTTGAAAGACTTATCCCCTCATTTGTATGATTTAGAGTCAAGCAAAGATTGTATTATCTTAGATAAACGTGAAAATGAAATTGATGTTGTTTCAAGGTGGAATTGGAGCAGATTAGGAGAGGTAAATAGGTTGATCAACTTTCGGATATGATGAATTTCATGGAGAATTTTCAGTTTGTTGGTGGTTTGGACAGGTGTTGTTGGATTGGTGATGGTGCTAGTGATTTCTCGGTTAAAGGTCTTAGAGCTTTGATAAATAAGTATGGTAATAGGAAGTTGAATTCCTTCAAGTGGATAAATTGGATTCCTTTATAGATTAACTGCTTTTCTAGAGATTATCTAAAAATAGTATCCCACTATTTTCAAATCTTTTGAACCGTGGTATAGATGTCTAATCCTCTTTATCCCTTTTTATCAGATTGACGAGGAGACTCTTGATCATGTTTTCTTTGGTTGTAAAGTGGTGAAAGCTTTATGTAGTTGGCTTGTGGAGTGTGTTGCGATTCATAAGATACATCCTAGTTCATATGCAAATCTATTGGAGATGTTGGATTCTAAAGTTAGAGGCAACAAAATTCAAAAGCTTAAGTTGGGGATTACTTACTTCACTTTATGTGTCATTTGGAAAGCATGTAATGATATTGTTTACAAAAATGTTCGGCGAGCCATGATGCTTTTGGTGGATGAACTTGTCTTAACAAATTTAATTAGATTAAAAATAGATCGAAGTTAGGATGTTTTGATTGGTCGTTTTGGTGTATGACTCATTTTTACAAATATTGTATTGTATTTGGTTTGACTTTTTGTATTTGACTTAAGCTCCTTGCAAGAGTCTTTTTCTATTTTGTATTAATATCACTGCTAAATTTCAGCTACATAGTTTATTAGATAGAATTGTAATTCTTTTATATTAGATCACATTGTTCGAATATGTGACACATGCTCTTCTGGGAAGTATGTGGGTCATATATACCATAGTCAACACCAAATTCAAGTTATTCATCGACTATTTTCCTTTCTCTAATACCTTCACTATCAACATACCCGTCCTCTTGAATTTCTTCAACTTCACCATATTCTTCCATGGAGTAATTAGGTCACATATACCGTATTCAACACCAAATTCAATTGATTCGTCATCAATTTCCTTTTCTATAATTCCTTCACTATCAAAATATACATCCTCTTGTATTGCTTCAACTTCATTTGTTTTTAATTTGTGTAGTAACCTAGTAATGTCATAACTCACAAAGAAACAAACCATTTGGCACCTTTTACTACAATTTATCTTTTTCATATTTATTACTATCATCCAATTCATTATCAACCACAAAGTTTGGGCCCTTTTCATCACTTTTCTTCACTCAAGTCACTTTCTTCAAAACCTGAGTCGTAATATAATTAGGTCACATATACCATATTCAACACCAAATTCAATTGATTCGTCGTCAATTTCCTTTTCTATAATTCCTTCACTATCAAAATATACATCCTCTTGTATTGCTTCAACTTCATTTGTTTTTAATTTGTGTAGTAACCTAGTAATGTCATAACTCACAAAGAAACAAACCATTTGGCACCTTTTACTGCAATTTATCTTTTTCATATTTATTACTATCATCCAATTCATTATCAACCACAAAGTTTGGGCCCTTTTCATCACTTTTCTTCACTCAAGTCACTTTCTTCAAAGCCTGAGTCGTAATATAATTTTTTCAATGTAAAAAAGCATGGTTAGAGCGGCTACTTTCGGTGCATTAAAGTTTGGGTGAGAAATAAAGAAATTTAACACAACTAGTGAAAGGTTAACACAATTTTACCTTTCACCCATGGCTAAAAGAGTGTTGCATAGTCAATCGTACGACATTGTGGGACCAAATTCCACTTGCTTTTTCTTCGGCAATGAGTATTATCGTTTATAATGATTAATGAGCTCCCTTCGAAGACGTCTTTCCTTGATTTCAAGCAATCGTATGTTACTCCATTTTGGCCCCTCATAATTAAAGCCCCCATGATTTTTACTTAGGTCTCCTGTCGTGAGAAGCTTATAAAGTCTTACCAAATGAGCTACTAAGTGATGGTTGTAGGGGGGTCAAATTTCATGTGCTATTTAATTTAATGAACCCTACTAAATTATTGTCTTCGATGAGGTGTTTGTTACCCCTATTTGCTGTGATGCTCAACGATGTAATCATTGATCGTTGTACGAAAAAGATTATATGATAGAAGCAGACATGACAAAAGGGTTACCGAGAAGCAATGGTGTAACTTGGTCAACATTGAATAAAATTAAAAGAAAAATCTCAGATAAAGTCTCAATATATTGGAGTAGTTTACAGTTTAATCTCAACATTTATTTTTATTTTTTGAACAGAAAAGTCTCGATTATCAAATTTTATACGATAATCTTTCATTTTCTGTTGAATAAAAATAATGATTATTTCGTTAATTTTGATAAAATATAAAATAATCGAGACTTTTATGTTCAAAAAATAAAAGTTGAGATTAAACTGTAAACTGACCTAACATATTGAAACTTTATAAGAGATTTCTCCAATTAAAAATATATAATTATAAATATAAATAAAATAATTAAAAATAAGGTGTATTTTGTATAGATTACCTAAAATTATACTCAAAATTATAAAATTCCTTAAACGTAACAACCATAAGGCCAAAGGGTATGGAGCGGGGAAGTGTTGTGGAGAAGCGCACACAACACTGTCACTGTAGTTTAGAGGGTGGGGGAAAATGGTGAGGGGAGGCTACCCCACCTTCGATCTTCATGTGTGATTGGTCAACATTTTTTTATTAATTTGTTAGTTTTTTTAATATTTATTAAATTATATACCTATTAAAAAATTATAAAAAATATATTAAAATTTATGGTTTTTAATTTTCTACAAAACGAATATAATATTCGTATAAAATATTTAAAAAAAAAGTTAGAAATAGTGAAATGCGACTATTTTTTTCTTTTTAGTGTGTAAAAGATGAATGAATAAAAAGTTGACGTAACATTAAAAAAAACTTAAGATAAGTACACGGTATCGTCTAAGAGCATCTCCTAAGGTATATCATAGGTCAAAAATATTGTCACTTCACTGTTTTATTTTTATTGACCTCTAATTAAATTTTTTGTCCATGGTTAAACTTTTTTATGATTTTTTTTTAATTTAACTATTTATCGTTATCTATCTAAAATATTATATAAAACTCTCTCGTTTAACTAATCGATTTTCTCAAACATATTATATATTTTAATATAAACATTATCATAGATATTAATATAAACATTCATCGACTTACATATTACTATTATTTATATTTATATATTATATATTTGTTTATCTTTAAATTTTAGATAAATAATAAATAAATAAAAGTAAATTAAAGATAGAAAATGAAATATTTTAAAAAAAGAAACAAGTTAATTGTTCATATCTTTAAACTATTTTGATCATTCAATATATAATATATATTAAGTATTCAATATATAATATATAGGAGTATTAAGTATTCAATATATATAATATATATTAAATGGTCAATAAAAATGAATAAAAAAATCATTTATTCATTTATTCTAATGATGTTTAATTATTTTGACCACTTAAACAGATAATAATAAACTATAAAAAAAACTAATCATCGAAAATGATTTAATAAATTATAAAATCTGCCCACCTAATCTCCTACTTGCATGTATTAGCGAGTCCAGAAAAAAACAATGTTTCAAACATAAAGCAAACCAATCAAACAATAATTTCAAACATATATTTATAACATAGGGATTTTCTAATATGTGTCCTAAGGACACATATAAGAAGTATTAATTATGAAAAATATTACTATAATTAAATTCGAAATACATTTATTATGGAGATTATTAATGCATTTCACATTAATTATGGTAATATTTCTTATAATTAATGTATTTTATAATTAATTATGATAATATATATCATCAATTAATGCTTGTTATATGTGCCCTAATGACACATATTAGAAAATCCCTATAACATATTAAGATACAATAAATATTTATTTAGCTTTCTAATATGTCAGTCGATTAATTCGAGCCGTCCATTGACTTAGATAATCTGTTTTCATGGCCACACGATGAGGACAACACCACACCATATTCTCCGGAAAAAATGTATATTAAAAAAAAGGAAAAAAAAGTAAATTCAAGAATTTGATTTTGATTTAATATTAGAATCTTTCAGAAGATCTAGCAGTTACAGTATGTTTTTCTGTCTTCTATCTTTGTTGCTCCATCATACGCGTGAAATCCTCGAAGCAGACGAATCCATCTCCATTCTTGTCCACGCTACTTATCATACGCCTGCAATCCTCTAATGTGCACTGTCCGTCTCCGATCGACTTAAACACCGCAAACAACTCATCCGCCGTGATCATCCCGTCGTGATCCGTGTCAAAAAACCCAAAAGCACCTCTCAACTCGTCGTCACACGACGGTGGTCCGAACGCAGAGCTTATAACGCCGAACTCCTCAAGACTAATGCTTCCGTCACCGTCTCTGTCGACTTCGTTAAGCATGAGGCTAAGTTCCTCCGGTGTAACAGGCTCGGCACCTCCGATCCGGCTCAACAGAGCCTCCAACTCCGCTCTTGTTATCCTTCCGTCGCCGTCAGTGTCCATGATCCGGAACGCCTGTACAAGCTCAAACTGTATATCGGCTGAGATCTCCGACCACTCGTCGGATGATATTTCATGTGAGTGGGTCGTTAAGACGCTGGTTGGTGTCGCAAGGCCGTTTGATTTTGACTTGTGGTGACGGCTGGGCTCCGGGGAGCCTGACGTCGTGGTAATGGAGGAACTGAAAGACGATGACTCCGATCTGGACACTGTGCTGCGTTTTTTGGATCTGAAGATGTTCTTGGGGTTGATTCTTCCGGAGAGTTTCATGATTGGAAAGAGGGTGAGGATGCAGATGGGATTTGATGATAATGGGGATTCTTGATGGAAGGAGGGAGGAAGATGGTGGTGGTTATATGGAGGAATGAGAGGAGAGCCATAGTGACCTTCGAGGAAGCTTCGTTGGAGCCGTAGTAGGACTATTTATTGGTATTGGGTACCAAATTTTGATTTCGTGTGTGCGGCTGTTTGCTTTCTTAAGCAACGGCCGTTTTGCTTTTGTTGTTTTCCAAATTATTTTATAATTACATAAAAGTTAATAATTTTAATTGTAACAATCTTATCCATAAAAGTTTATTTTCTTGATTTGAATTACTATTAAACTTGTTTTGCGTGTTTGAAAAATACCAATATAATCGATTACTATAGATGGTGTCATTGACATTTACGGTGAATCTTCGGTCATCTTAATCAACCAAACATTAATTTTCTAAAATCCAAAAATTATTATTGTTCTTTGAAGTTGGTGTTCAAGAACATACTCAAAAAGAGCTTGTGGTGGGTTCTTTGAAGTGGCGACATGATTGGGTTTTTTTAATACGCATGTAAATTCGGGTAATGAGTCGATGTTCTTGAAATTTTGAAATGTTTTTGAACACATATATATGCCAATGTGGTGGGTTCTTTAATAAACAATGTACTCATACTTGTAAATCGATTTCTAAGTTTTTATAGCCCGATTTCTAGGTTTTTTTTATGCTTGGTTTGAGAGTTAGGGTTCTTGAGTTTTGGCGTTTAACGTTTTAGATTTATGGTGATGAACGATATAAACACTCACATACACTCTCCATATATTGATGTTCTTGAGCTTGCATCTTTGTACATGAAGGGGTTTTAAATCCAAGTTTTGAAGACCACATTCATAGTGTCCCCTTCATGAGTTGGTTTTTGAGCACCAGCTTCAAAGAACAATAATAATTTTTTGGTTCAAAAACAAGATCTTCATGATTGCCAAAAAAATCATGTTTGATCAAAGAAGATAATTGTTCACTCATCAAAGATGTCAAAGACGTCAAAACCTGGATAAACTTACAGTAATCAGTCATGTTAGTATTTTGTAAACACGTTAAACAACTTCAATGATAAATCGCATATAAAAAAACTATGACAAAAATATATACATGGGATAAAGTCATTACCCTTTCAAAAATACCACATTATAGCTTAGAAGAAAAAAAATTGACCAACTTTTTTGCTATTTAATGAAGTGACCACTGAGGTTGGAAACCAATGTCCCATGCTACACTAAAATCATGTTGGAGAGCTTAGTTCTGAAATGATTGTTTCAATCGAAAATGTCCAAGGTCAATAACAGTTTTGGTAATATTTTTAATAATATTAGGTTCATTTTGGGTTGGCATCATGACCCAAACAACATAAGGAAATTGAGATAAATAAGTTGTTAACTTATTAAGGAATTAATATATTAATTAGAAATTATTTTGTTAATTAATTAAAATATTTTAATTAATCAAATATCTTCAATATTAAATCATCATATGGATTAATGGGATATTCTAGAAGCTCCTGGATATATAGGGGTGGAGGCTTTTGGTGTATCCCTGGATAGAGAGGGATACGACTTATTTGAATCAGATAAGGATTAATCCTAGTGTTTGAATCCTTCTAGGTTTTTATTTGCAGTCTATAAATAGATTATTAAGGGTAAACCCTAGAGCTACTTATTCTCTCTCCAAATGTGTTTACATACTGTCTGGCTGTCTGTCTCTCTCTCACTCGCTCTCTCTACTTGAACGATTTCTTAACCTCTCTTCTAAGGCTTGGAGAATTTTGTATAAACCCTAGTTTTGGTTTCTTCCTTTTGCTTTTGGTATTGTGGATCTGATTCTATTAGAGGGTGCTACGTTAGATCCTTCATCCATAGCAACAAACTGATAGTTACGAGATCACAATCAAGCAATAAGATGTTAGTAGTTCTTTCTTTTGTTGATTTTTAAAGTATGTTGCTATAACCAGTAACACCTAGATTCTAAGATGCATGTGCACTTTGGTAAATCTCCTAATTGTTTCAGCTGCCTTAGTGTAACATCCATATATTCATGCTAATCAATTAAGATATAATAAGCATTAAAAATGACTTTTTGATAGAAGAAAATTTAGGATAAATAATCTTAACCACAGTTATAGTATATGTGACAAGGATTTCGAACATATAACGGACGCCTAAATCTAACTTATTGAGTAGAAGTTATGATTTTGAGAAGATCCAGCGTAGCAGTATGTGACACGGAAACCAAAATTAAAATCGGTAGATTGTTAAGAAAAACAATCAAAACGAAAATTGAAGATCTCGTTAATAAGAGTCCATTAGTATAAAGACAATTGAGATCGGACGTCGGACGAGAGAGTCATGAATTTTGAACGGCTTTAACAGTCTAAGTCTGTTAAAAATAAAACTTTAAAAATAAATTCAAAATTAGCCGACGGAGTCTAAATGAACGTTATAGATCTCGTTGATAGCTACACGTGGATATAAAACGCATTGAAAATAGAGCTCGTATGAAGAAGATATGAATTTTTAAAGGTATTATAAAAAACCGCGCACAACCATGCGCACAAACAGCATGCGCGGCGCGCACTGACACTTCACCCAAAAGATGACACGTGTCACCACTCGACAGTTGCCACATCACCTGGTCCGACCATATGCGCGACGCACACTACCTTTTTCGCATATAAATGGAGTCAAGGGTCAGATTCATTCTCACACCTTTCCTTTGCCTCTCTCGAAATTATTTGCATTTGAACCAAAATTCCCTTAGTTTTAGTCTTCGACAAAGCCCTGAAGTCCCTAGGATCCCGACAATTAATAGATATCATGTCGGAGTACTACCAGTACAATTTTCGTACTTATGTCTAGGAAATCTTTGTAAGTTAGCTTACACTCAACTTTATTTTGTGTAATTTATATTTATATTCATAGTCATTGTTATGAATTTATAAATAAGATTTGTCAGTGATTCCAAGTCATTATACTACTTACAGGGGTGGTGTCTAGGCAAGATTTAAGGAGGTGTTTAAAATGGGCTTTCCAAACAGCATACTCTGTATACCAAACGGACCCTACCTCCGATATAATCTTATCTTGTTGCTCCTTAATTAATAGGTTTTGATGTAGGCATTTGGATTGTTGAGAAATCTAGACTATTGATTAGTCATAAGAAATGATAAACTAAGACTTAGTAATAATCGAACCTAGGTCACATCAAAGGAAAGACTAAGTGCTGAAGCGAAGCGTTGTCCAAGTTTCCAGTCATCCACTTTAACAAGTGAGTGCATAGTTACTTTTTGCTTACATATAAATACAAGTATTCTAAATGCTTAAATTCTATGTGTGCTATTTATTCGTGTTTAATATATATGTGTTTTATATGATATAGCTATTACTTGATTAAACCGTATATAAATTATTATATTTAAAATATGATTAGGTAGTGAAGAGTTGTGTGAAATAACCGATGAGAGGTTGTGATAGGTTGGTAAAGGATGTGATAGGTTGGTAAAGGACTGAGTAAAATAATAAATGAGTGGTTGAGTTATGGATTGTGTGAAATAACGAGTTGTGACCCGATGTGCTATAACTAAAAGTACTATTGTACTGTTGTGTCTAGTCACCTAAGAATATATTGGTTAGTAAAATGGTGTGCGAAATGATGAGTTGTGACCTGTTGTGTTATGACCAATGTACTATCGTACTGTTGTGTTATGCCCAAAGTACTATTATACTATTGTGCCTAGATACTTAAGGAAGGATAGATGACAAATGCTGATGATAAAGATCCTTTACGAAAGATCCATCGAGATCATTATTTAAAGATTAGGAAGTGAGGATAACGGGAATGAGTAATTGGGTTATTTGTTTGCTGAAAATGTATAATTAATGATTATAATATTGTGCATTGAAAACCCTATGTACTCACCAGGTTTCCCAACCTGATCCACTCAACTTCTTTGCATCACCGGTAGTCGTGCAAGGTACATGAATGATGAGAGATTCAAAGAAATGTAGACTGATAGTCTAAAATATTGTAAGACATGTTTATGCTTATGTTTTGTATCAGTGATGACATCCCAAAATTTTATAAATTAATGAAAAAAATTTCTTCAGAAATACTTTATGGGACCAAATTATGCATTTATAAATAAACTTTGTTTTAAAAATAAGTATAAATAAAAAGTTTTAAAATGACCGTAAAAATGGGGATGTCACACTTATACAGTGTACTTGATGTTAATAATCCTCAACAGTTGTATCAGAGCCTAATTGGTTTTAGTTAATAGCACAAAGTTTAAGAAAAAAAAAACATGCTAATCGCAGTCAACGCAGTCACCTGCTAGTTGCAGCGCGACAGACGAAATTTCAGGATTTTAGATTTTGGTTAAAATTTCGAATTTTTTTAGCCTCTTGTTTAAAATATTATTTTAACTATTTAAAACTAAATATTCGAATTTAGTAATTGTTTGAAATATTATATAATTTAAATTTAAATTTGAATATTTAATTAATTAAATTTGAATATTATTTAAACTTGAATTAAAATTTGAATATTTATCTTGAACTTTATTTAATAAGAGAATTAAATTAGAAAGACACGATTATAAATTTAAAATGTTTATATTTAGTATATGGTGTAATTTACTATACGTATAACAATTATACTACATGCGTCCTCACATGTTAATAAAAACATTATCGTCGAATCAAGACTAGACTCATTCACTCTGATATTCTAAGAAAGGTTTAAGGAGGTTTTTCTATGATTCCTAATGAGGTTGGTTTTTAAAATGTTTCGCGCTTACCACTTTCACCGCCTTTTTGTATTTTTAGAGTGAAGTTACCGAAAGGTTCGATCGGATTTTGTTTCAAGATTAACAATATTAATACAATGATAAATGAAATTCCTGTTTTATATATACCGAAAACGTGAATCATGTGCTACACATGAAAACACATATTTTCTTTATATTCT